ATAGGGCATTAGGAATGGCTAACGGTTTGTATATATATTTCTGTTTTGAATTTTTCTGCGCCATGTACAAATGCACACACAGTTGGACATGTTTCTAGTACCTTTTCCCCAGCTCGTAAATGTATCTTGCAGTAAGGATGCGTTCAAGACCAATGTGTGCAACCTTGCTTCTTGGTGATTGATGGAGCATCGAGAGCGGATGCGAATAAAGCTGGTATGCCATGGATTTGTTTTGCCAATGGAGGTCAGCGGAGGGCTCAAGCGGCAGAGGCTAGACCACTATCTTCTCCTTTAGCAGCGGAGGCAATGACATGTCTTCGGGCCTTGCAGTGGGCAGCTCGGGATGGTTTGCAACATGTGGTGGTCAGGACGACTGCCAAGTTTTGGTTCAGTTACTGCAACATCAGCGTGATGCAGTGGATTGGAATGTTGCAACTATTATTAACGATGTTAGATGTGTATCTCATGTTTTTGTTTGTTTATCCGTATGTGTAATTAAACCAGTTCATGGACTGACAACTAATATAGTCAGTTATTCTGTTTAATATAATCATTTACGTTCGTCCTCTTAAAAAAAGCATATTTTATTCCAAAAAAACTTAAAAGGCCGACTCATTTTTGTCTGTGTTTGATTGGGAGATTTGGAGAGAAATTTGGAAAGAGAAAGGGAAAAAGTGTGTGAAACTAGGTGAAATGTAGGTATATTTTATTCACATTTCACCTAATTTTTCCCTTTCCCTTTCCAAATCTCTCATCAAATCCCCCAACCAAACACAGCCTAAGTGAATTTTCAAAGAAAAAATATAAATAAATAAATAAATAAAATTTCAGGAAAGTCTATCCCAAAAAGACCTAAAAAAAATATAATATAAAATTAACTCAATGTTAAAAAAGAAGAAGTTATTTATACAAAATAAAATTTAAACATAAGTGAATTTATAAATTGCAGCCAATTTACTTGTGAAAAAAAAAATAAAAAAAATAAAACAAAGAGAGAAATATTAACAAGAAGATAAGAAAATTGTGTGGTAACAATTATTGAGTGGGTTTGCCCCACCAGACCACTACCATGTTCTTGCGCGCATAGTGGAGCTGTCTCGCGATGAAATCGACTAATGATCACATTCATCAGTATAAAGATTTTCTTCATACATTTTCTTGTAATGGGTTAATAATGTACAAAATATAATTAATTAAAAAAATGTAAATTTTATATCAAAAACTGAAAAAAAAAAAGAAAAAAGACATGCTTCTTATTTCTTTTCCTTCCCAAAATGAAATCATTATAAAATATTATAGACAATACAGTATTTGGATTGCTACTCCTTGTTATAAACACTCACAGCCAATAATTCGTTTCTTTGCTGCTCTACTATTCACGTCACATGACCATTTTAAGGTATCTCATTATTACATATACAACAATATCCCCACTTAGAATCAAGTGCTACATAATATCCCCATTATTACATATACTAGGGCTGAGCAAGGAATCCGTGAAATCCGTAATCCGATCCAGTCCAGTCCAATCCGATAGGTTTGGATTAGTTTTTTGAATCCGTGGTTCGGTTCCGGATTGAAGAATTAAAAATCCGTAGTCCACGGATTGGTTCCGAATTGAACTCCACGGTTCCGGATTGGAACCGATCCGGACCGTATGCAAATAGTCTATATTTTTATTATACATCCTCCTTCATAGTATCTTCTCTTATTCTATATAAATCCTAAACTCAAACTTAAACCCGTATAATATCTTCTTTTATTACTTTTGTTCGTTAGTTTATAGTTTTAATTTATAATGGCCTAAATTTTTATGGTGAAACCAGTTCTCTTATTGTTGTTTAAATTTTAGAACATTATTTTGCTATTATAGAAAAACATGTTGCTATTGTGGAACTAATATAGCACTATGTTTATGTTTTTATGAAATTAAAGTGTTATATATATATTTTTTTGTTGTTTAATTATGTGAATCCGTGGTCCTAAACCGATCCAATCCGTGTTTAAATGGATTGGTTCGGATTGGTTCCATGATTTAAACGGATTGGATTGGTTTCAATTTTTCAAGAACCGTAGATAACGGATTGGTCCTGGTTTTATCCCAATCCGGTCAAATCCGGACCATGCTCACCCCTAACATATACCATATATCTTCACCAAGTGGGGTCTATTTCGGCAGCCACATGATTCTATTCAGATCAGGGATGATTCCCTCCGCCCTCAAAAAATAAAATAAAATAAAAAACGGCTATCAATATTTTAATTTTTAAATAGAAACAATTCAGCTCAATTGACATGTTTCAAGTAGCGTAACGTATTGGTATTCAAGCAAACATGGAATTCCTTGATTCCTCTTTATAAAATATTTCTTTAGCCGAGCGATCCCAAACCAATACCATAAGAGGTTTTGGGGAGAAACTTGCTTCTTGTTGCCTTTATTTATTTTATGTATATAAAACAGACTGAAAATTCGGTGAAAGCACAAACAAAAGGAGTGGAGAAAAGTCAAAATAGCGTTGCTCTAAAACACCAATGTCTTCGTTTTTGCGCCAGACAATTTTCAAATTTTCAAAAAATACCTTTTGGGTGTTTTCTAAGTAGTGAATTATTTATGGAAACAATAAATTTGAAAGCACTTTTCAGATTCGGCAAACAAATTCATCGTATTTTACACATAATACAAGTGTCACATGTGAATAAATTCATATAAAACGTGAAGAGAGAGAGAGAGAGAGGAGAAATTCATGCCCAACGCGGGCTTAGGCAGGTCTCAGCACAACTTGAGTTGGACTTGAACAGCCTCCCAATCCAACCGAACCCGCCCGAGTTGCACCCCTAATTTTAAATAGAAACAATTCAGCTCAATTGACATGTTTCAAGTAGCGTAACGTATTGGTATTCAAGCAAACATGGAATTCCTTGATTCCTCTTTATAAAATATTTCTTTAGCCGAGCGATCCCAAACCAATAACCTATATTATAAGATTTTGTGTTTTTAGTTTGTTTAAATATTTTATTTATATTTTTAATTAAAAAAGAGTTTAAATATTTTGTCAAAAAAAAGTTTTTTAACTTGAAATCTTTTTTGAATTGAAAAAAAATAAATGTATTATTTATCTATATTTTTTAGTTTTTAAATCTATCTCTAAAAATAATAAATAGAAAATATGATATATACTGGTTGGTTTTTGTTTTCAAAAACAGATATAGATGTAATAATACAGAGACATACAATCTCTACTACTGCGTTATTTATGGTTTTGGTGGTTTGAATTAGGGGTGGGCGCGGGTCGGTTGCGGCCACGGAACCTCCAATCCGCCATCCGTCTGCCAGATTGGCGGATTGGAGAAAATCAATCTGCATCCGTCCGCCAATTCGGCGGATGTGGATTGAGCGGTTTAGCGGTTTGGCGGATAGATGCGAATCGGTTTGGCGGTTTAAAATTTTATAAATTTTCAACATAATTCAACTTGTGCACTTCCTCAAAAAAAAAAAAAGAAAAAAAAAAGAAAGTATTATAATCAATGACTTAAAAAAATATTACAATCACTGCATGCCTCATCCAAAGTAAGAAAGTTTAAAACTTTAGAATATCACAATCACAGCATGCCTCATCCACATAAAATATTATAATCTGTGGTTCTTAAAATATAAAAACAATTCAAACTAGGGGTGCTCGCGGTTTGGCGGTTCGGTTGCGGTCAAAGGAATCTCAAATCCGTCATCCGTCCGCCAGATTGAAGGATTGGAGAAAATCAATCCGCAACCGTTCGCTCGTTATCACGCATCCGTCCAAAATGCGACGGATCGATTCAATTCAATCAATTTTGACGAATCGATATATCCGCTGCTCACCCCTAACCACAAGAGGCTTTGGGGGAGAAACTTGCTTCTTGTTGCCTTTATTTATTTTATGTATATAAAACAGACTGAAAATTCGGTGAAAACACAAACAAAAGGAGTGGAGAAAAGTCAAAATAGTGTTGCTCTAAAACACCAATGTCTTCGTTTTTGCGCCAGACAATTTTCAAATTTTCAAAAAATACCTTTTGGGTGTTTTCTAAGTAGTGAATTATTTATGGAAACAATAAATTTGAAAGCACTTTTCAGATTCGGCAAACAAATTCATCGTATTTTACACATAATACAAGTGTCACATGTGAATAAATTCATATAAAACGTGAAGAGAGAGAGAGAGAGAGGAGAAATTCATGCCCAACAAAATAAATCACAGAAAGAAATTGGGAATTCTGATAACAAATGATCTTCCAATTCACTCTCCTAGATTCATGGCAAATTAGCTACTACAAACTCCTCAGTCATGCTGTGTGTGTAGACTTATTCTTGCCTCACGCTTGTTATAGTTTTTTATGGCAAATTAGCAGAGTTACCACAAACTCCTCAGTCATGCCGTTTGTGTTGACTTATTCTTGCCTCGTGCTTGTTATAGTTTGTTAGCTCTCTCTATCATTTCAAGGAGGGAATTAGAGGAGCTGCCTTTCCATGCTCCAATTTAGATATTCATTAAACCTCCTGGCCCACCCCCTTACCAGCCCACTAGTAAGTACCCCAATGTATATTTGATGGTTAGACGCCATTTTTTTGAAATCTCCACGGCTCTCTTTAGATTTTAATTATTGTTGTATGTGTGAGGTTCACACTATCAATCATGGAGATCTAAAAGGGATGATGAGAGTCTCTAAAAAATAAGATTTCAATCATTGTTGATAGATATGTCTTCTTGTACTGACCAATACATCTTTTCAATCAATTTATTAACTGAGATTTTTATATTTAAGATTTTTACATTCTCCATAACTAATATTAAAAATACAAAATAGTTTTCTAAAAAATTTACTTAATATTTACATAAGTGTAAAACTCATATATGTGAGACTGACATCCATACAAGTATTTAATATAATTTTAATAAAATATTTAGGATGTGAAACATTTTTGTTCATCAATTATATACAAATTTAAGAAGAACACATAATTTTTTAGACAGAAAATCCTTACGGAAAGTCTATATATTATCTTCTCTTGCCTTAACTTTTGCAACTTCTCATCTAAGAAACTAAAAAAATGGGTGAAGCCCCAACCACCACAGCCTCGGCCGTCCGTGGTGGTGGCCGGGGCTTTGATATCTTCGGTTTCACAGTCCACGTTGTCCGCGGGCGGTGGTTCTCCCTCTTCGCCTCCTTCCTCATCATGGCCGGAGCCGGTGCAACATACCTTTTCGGAGTTTACTCCAAAGACATAAAATCCTCCCTCGGATACGACCAAACCACCCTCAACCTCCTAGGTTTCTTCAAAGACCTCGGCGCCAATGTTGGTGTCCTCTCCGGCCTCATCGCCGAGGTAACTCCGACATGGTTCGTCCTCTTAGTCGGCTCGGCGATGAATTTCACTGGCTACCTCATGATATGGCTGGCCGTCACCGGAAAAATCAGCAAGCCAAAAGTTTGGCAGATGTGTCTTTACATCTGCATCGGAGCCAATTCCCAGAACTTTGCCAATACCGGAGCTCTGGTCACCTCCGTGAGGAACTTCCCGGAGAGCCGGGGCATAATGCTGGGACTCTTGAAGGGCTTTACAGGGCTAAGTGGAGCTATCATGACTCAAATTTACTTAGCCATCTATGGAAATGACTCCAAGTCTCTCATCCTCCTCATCGCTTGGCTTCCCGCCGCAATATCGGTGGTGTTTGTGTATACAATTCGGAATTTGAAGGTTGTCAGGCAGCCCAATGAGCTCACAATCTTCTACCATTTTCTCTATGTTTCGATTGCGCTAGCTCTGTTTTTAATGGTCATGACTATATGTCAGAAACTGGTGACTTTTCCACAAGCTGCTTATGCGGGTAGTGTTGCTGTTGTTTGTGCTTTACTCTTTGTTCCTCTTTTTATCGCGATTAGAGAAGAGCTTGTTCTTTGGAAAGCCCAAGGCAAAAATCCCACTTCAATATCAACCCAGATTCAATCAATTGCAGAGCCAAAACACTCAGAAGAACCGACAATAAAGCCAGAAGAGAAAAAGACTTCTTCTTCTTCTTGCTTTGCAGAGACCTTTTTTAATAAGCCGGAAAGAGGAGAGGACTACACAATCTTACAAGCACTTTTAAGCACTGACATGCTGATTCTGTTTGTTGCAACATTTTGCGGTCTGGGTTCGAGTCTTACCGCTGTGGACAATTTAGGACAGATTGGGGAGTCACTCGGATACCCACAGAAAACAATAAAAACATTCGTTTCGCTTTTAAGCATATGGAATTACTTCGGCAGAATCTTCGCTGGCTTCGTTTCTGAAACCTTGCTCGCAAAGTACAGATTTCCGAGGACGCTTATGATGACGCTAGTCCTTTTTTTGTCGTGCATCGGCCTTCTCCTCATCGCATTCCCAGTCCCAGGTTCAGTCTACGTGGCATCAGTGATCATTGGGTTCTCATTTGGCGCACAATTGCCATTGCTTTTCGCAATCATATCGGAGCTCTTTGGGCTAAAGTACTACTCTACATTGTTCAATTGTGGGCAATTGGCTAGTCCTCTCGGGTCCTACATTCTAAATGTGAAGGCCACCGGGCCTTTATATGACCGCGAGGCATTGAAGGAGCTAGAGAGAAAGGGATTGACTCGGTCGTCCGTGAAGGAATTGACTTGCATTGGTGATCATTGTTATAGAATTGCTTTTGTGATTTTGGCTAGTGTGACCTTCTTTGGAGCTCTTGCTTCACTAATCTTGGTTGCGAGAACTCGAGAATTTTACAAAGGGGATATATATAAGAAGTATAGAGAGAAAGCAGAGGAGGCTGATGCTGAGGTTGCTTTGGCAGCTGGGAATGAAGGCAGAGAGATTCAAATGACGGGAAAAGGAGTTGAAGGTGAAGAGGACAGGCAAAGAAAATGAAAGAATGAAACTGGCTTGCAGGTAAAAGAGCAAAGCCAAAGAAAATGTAACTGCTTTGCTTTTTTGGGCAGTGTATCATTTCATTAAGCGTGTAGGTTGCTTCCCTGTTTTAGAAAATAAATAAAAAAAATGTTTCAAACCTCATTTTCCTCCCAACCCTTTGACCCTCTTTTTCTCTTATTGGCTAACTTTTTTTTTTTTTTTTTTTTTCAAACCCTCTTTTTCTCTTATTGGCTAATTTGGCTAGTTTTTTTTTTTTTTTCAATCACCATCTATCACATGTGTGAGGGGGCTGTGATTGGAGGAATCTTTATCAACACATAAATAAAGTAAGGGCTGGTTTGACATAGATTATATAATCCATTTTTTTTATTTTTTTATTTTTTTTCATCACATCACCTCTACTTTTCTGCACATTTTTTTCGAAAAAAGACAAAAAATACACTTTTTTAGGACATCTCAAACCAACCCTAAGTATATCTAATCTATCTTTGTTTAATTTTTTGGAAAATATTTGGGATCTTCGTAAAAGATGACCCTCGTGACCCCACTAATGTATTGATGTGTTTGAATTTTTTTTTGGAGTTGTGTTTGACATAAATGGTTCAGGGTTGGTTTGAGAAGTGGGTTGACTTTCTGTTTTTTTTTTTACTATTTTTACCTGGGCTAAAAAGCTTGGTTTGGGAAGGACTTTTTGGTTTTTTAACATTTTTTGTAAGAGAATAATGTAATGATTATAGGTTGAATGTCATGTTTTGTTTGTTGTGGCTAAAATAGTCTATTTTATCTTTTGTAATTAAAATAGCCGCAAACTATCTTCCCAAACAGATCCACAGATTATTTTGAGAATATGAGAGTTGTGTTTTGCAAAGGTCTTAATCATTACTGTAACTCTTTTGATTGCCTTGGTTAGGTTATTGTATATATTAATAATTATATACAAATAAATAAATAAATTATATCTATCTACGGTATAAGAAGGAAATTGAGCCATCTTCTACAGTGATTTAACTGTTCATGGAATGGCTCTTTTTTTCCACTTTCTATTTTGTCCCTTTTTTAAAAATAAATTTATTTTTAGGGGTATTGTAGCAGACTTGTATCCAATCATTTTAAATTAAAAGATAGGTCAAAATAATTTATTATTTCATAAATATCTCTATCATATTATTTAGTTTTTTTTTTCTTTTTGTAAATGCATATTTTGCCATCTATATAATAAAGTAAAATGATTTTTGAATTTATCCTCTTACTAAGACATTTGGACATGTTAGATTTATTTAAATTATAAAACAACGATTGAGATATATTTTTTCAAAAAATATCTTTCATGTACATTTTCTATTTTTTTGCTTTTCTCTCTTACTTTTTACTTTTCTCACCCATCCTTCTATGATCCCATGATCTCACATTCTTCTCTTCTTTTCTTTTTTTTTTTTATTTATTTTCTCCCAGTTTTATTTTTTTCTCTATTTTTTTTCTCCTTTTTGTTCACTTATTTTTATTCATATTATATGGAAAAGTCCAAGATCCCAAAATTAGAAGCCAAATTTTACTGTATGTAATGGAAATTATATTAATGAATTTTTTAGTCCACAAATTAAATGAATTTTAACAATTAATTATTATTTTTAAATATATTGAATACGTGATAGATTTCGTAAATTTAGACCTTATATAAATCTTCAACATCTATATAATAAAGTAAGATAGTTTTTGAATATTCAACATATTTTTGTCCTACTATGATATTTGAATAGCTTAGATCTTTTCAAATTATAAAACAATAGCTGAAATGTATTTTCTAAAAAATGTCTTACATATACATTTTCTACTTTCCCGCTTCTCTCTCTTACTTTTTTCTTTTCTCACACATCCTTTCATGATCCCATGATCTCATGATCCCACCTTCCTCTCTCTTTTCTTTTTATCTTTTTATTTTCTCCCATTTTTATTTTTCTCTCTATTTGTTTATATTTTTTTTTTATTTTCTCTTTTTTGTTCAATATATTTTACACATATTTCCATACAATGTATGTATGCCCGTAATACACTGGAACATTACGGGGATACATACAATTTCTATATAATTATATAAGCAAAAATAATATTGTATGTATGTTCGTGGAAATTGTATGTATGTTAGGCACATCTATCTATCTAGTGATATATTATATAAGCACAAGCGAGTTTTCGTGAGGAGTTTTGTGAGAACTCCAAAATTTTATAATAAATTTGAGATTTTATCAAATTAACAAATAAATTTAAACAGTGTTGGGATTACAATTATATTCTAATCTTAACATTATTTACACCGTGCCTCTGCATACGTTAGTTACCATATAGATCAAGAACCTTAGAGCAATTTCAACAGTGAAGTATTGGAGTTGCTATTGTTATAAAATAGGATAAATTATAAATACACCTCTTAAGATTTGCTTAAAGTATAGATTGGCTCCTGTAATTTGAAAAATTACAAATATTCCATTGTTAAAAAAATTTATTTAACAAAATTAACTAAAAAAAAAATAAATCGTAATTTCTCTTATATATAATAATAAAATTACTTAAATTATTAATTGAAACATATTTATAACATCATTAAAAACTGTTTATCGACTTGATAATTTATTAATAAAAGGTCGATTTGTTATGTAATTAGAAATCTCAGGAGATTGAATGTAATTTCTAAAACTACAGGGGGTGATTTATATTTTAATTAAATCTCGAGAAGTGTATTAGTAATTTACCCTATAAAATAGTATGGAGTTTATTTTCTTTCTTTTTTTTTAATTTCCAACTGTGAACTATCATAACTGTTAAATTATACATTTTTCTGTCAAATTTGACACTAATTTTATTTATAATTAAAACTATCAACGCAACAATTCTAAAAAGTTGGTGATCGACTGCCTGGTTAACCAACTGAAGTTATAGAAAGTGTTAAAGTTGCAGAATTTTAAAGCATGCCAATCTTTCAATCGACCTTCTCTTTAATCATTCACTTAAGTTAAAAAATAATAATTTTACCGTTGAAACAACCTTATTATTCTATAAAAAATTTTACACTATAAAAATCTCTATCATATTATTTAGTTTTTTTTTTTCTTTTTGTAAATGCATATTTTGCCATCTATATAATAAAGTAAGATAATTTTTTAATTTATCCTCCTACTAAGACATTTGGACAGGTTAGATCTATTCAAATTATAAAACAACGATTGAGATATATTTTCTAAAAAATATCCTTCATGTACATTTTATATTTTCCCGCTTCTCTCTTTTACTTTTTACTTTTCTCACACATCCTTCTATGATCTCATGATCCCACATTTTTCTCTTTTCTATATATATATATATATATTTTCTCCCATTTTTATTTTTCTCTCTATTTGTTTTTTTTTTCTCCTTTTTGTTCACTTATTTTTATTCATATTATATAGAAAAGTCCAAGATCCTAGAATTAGAAGCCAAATTTTACTGTGTGTAATGGAGATTAATGAATTTTTTAATCCACAAATTAAATAAATTTTAACAATTAATTATTATTTTTAAATATATTGAATACGTGATAGATTTTGTAAATTTAAACCTTATATAAATCTTCAACATCTATATAATAAAGTAAGATGGTTTTTGAATATTCAACATATTTTTGTCCTACTAGGATATTTGAATGGCTCAGATCTGTTCAAATTATAAAACAATAGCTGCAATGTATTTTCTAAAAAATGTTTTACATGTACATTTTCTACTTTCTCACTTCTCTCTCTTACTTTTTTCTTTTCTCACACACCCTTCCATGATCCCATGATCTCATGATTCCACCTTCTTCCCTCTTTTTTTTTTTTTTTTTTTTTTTTTTTTCTCCCTTTTTATTTTCTCCCATTTTTATTTTTCTCTCTATTTTTTTTTATTTTCTTCTTTTTGTTCAATATATTTTACACATATTTCCATACAATATATTTATGCCCGTAATACACTGGAATATTATGGGCATACATACAATATCTATATAATTATATAAGCAAAAACAATATTGTATGTATGTTCGTGGAAATTGTATGTATGTCAGACACATCTATCTATCTAGTGATATATTATATAAGCACAAGCGAGTTTTCGTGAGGAGTTTTGTGAGAATTTCAAAATTTTATAATAAATTTGAGATTTTATCAAATTAACAAATAAATTTAAATAGTATTGGGATTACAATTATATTCTAATCCTAACATTATTTGCACCGTGCCTGTGCATACGCTAGTTACCATATAGATCAAGAACCTTAGAGCAATTTCAACGGTGAAGTATTGGAGTAGCTATTGTTATAAAATAGGGTAAATTATAAATGCACATCTTAAGATTTGCTTAAAATATAGATTGCTTCCTATAATTTGAAAACTTATAAATATTCCCTTGTTAAAAAAATTTATTTAACAAAATTAACTCAAAAAAAGAAAAAATCATAATTTCTCTTATATAGAATAATAAAATTACCTAAATTATTAATTGAAACATATTTATAGTATCATTAAAAACTGTTAATTGACTTGATGATTTATTAATAAAAGGTCGATTTGTTATGTAATTAGAAATCTCAGGAGATTGAATGTAATTTCTAGAACTATAAGGAATGATTTATATTTTAATCAAATCTCGAGAAGTGTATTAATAATTTACCCTATAAAATAGTATGGAGTTTATTTTCTTTCTTTTTTTTAATTTCCAACTGTGAACTATCATAACTGTTAAATTATACAATTTTCTGTCAAATTTGACACTAATTTTATTTATAATTAAAACTATCAACGCAACAATTCTAAAAAGTTGGTGATCGACTGCCTGGTTAACCAACTGAAGTTATAGAAAGTGTTAAAGTTGCAGAATTTTAAAGCATGCCAATCTTTCAATCGACCTTCTCTTTAATCATTCACTTAAGTTAAAAAATAATAATTTTACCGTTGAAACAACCTTATTATTCTATAAAAAATTTTACACTGTTAATTATTAAAATTTAATTTTAACTTTATTTTCTATCAATTAGCCGCTGATGGTGCTCATACTTTTAACTTTAGCTTTATTTTTCATCAATTAACCGTTGATGATGCTCATGCTCGTTCCTATTGGTAAGGCGTAGGTGGCTGTTGGAAGGCTTTTGGGAGTCACGAGTGGAGTGGTGGTTGGCATCTTCTGAAGATGTCGCGTCAAGTCAACGTGACAATGTGTATTATTTTTAAGTCGTTTTTTGTCTTTAGTCTCCTGATATTCTTGGTTGCTAATTTAACATTTTATTGGGCAAGTAGTAGGTCACATGGATTGTCACACAAATTTTAATCATAGTACTATTTTCTCTCTCCACACGAGAGTGTGGAAGATCCTTCTTTTCTCAGATTCCATTACAATAAGTTAGATGTTGAATGATACTTTTTTTCTTTAAAAAATTAATTTCACCATTTTAAATATTTGTATGATCATCTTCAATGATTCATCAAATGCATCATCAAATTTTAATTTGATGAAAAAGAGATATTTTTTATGTTTCAATGATTTCATCAAAACGGTATCAAATTGAGAAAATGTGAAATGTTTCATCAAACTAAAGATCTGAGAAGCGTTCACCAGTTTATTGTGCGTAGACGTTGGGCGCGCGACCCACTGGACGACCGGCTGAACTTCTGGCCGATGATCCCCTCGGTCATCCGGTTAATCGAACACTTGCCAAAACATATCTAGATTTTGATATGCTTTGAGGACGTGGGTGTTCATATATTGAGCTATGCCTGTATGTCATGGATTTGTATCCAAAGACTCCTATTCCATTCCATTCCTCTCTTCGCCGCTTTCTCTCTCCCACCACAAGGATCTACGAGTTGCCTTACTTTCTTGGCCTTTTTCAGTCCAATACCGATGACCCATTCACTCCCATCACAAGGTCCTTGCCATGGCTAAACAGTCTCAAAAACCGCCTTCACAAACCACCCACCACAAGCACACCAATCGTCTTGCTTCCGAACACAATCCGTACCTTCTTCAACATGCTCATAACTCGGTATGTGAAACTGGGTTCATCTCAATTCTCTAATTTTCTTTCCTACGCTCCGTTTGGTTTGATTGTGAAAAGAAAAAAGAAAAAAAGAAAAAGGCATTGAAATTCAAGAACAACAACTCCAGAGAGAGATTAGTCTCTCTCCTCTCTTGTGTACTTCTCTAACATAGCTTCCTTGACCTAAAACAATGGTGGAAACAGAATAGAAAATGGTTAGATAAACAACCATAAAGTATCATTCTCATATGTAAACTCAAGTGAAAATTTTGCACTAACTAGTCAACTAACCAGTTGTCCTCCCGATAGTCCGTCCGATCGACCGATAATTTGATGAAAAGTCAAATCTCTCCATTGGAGTAGGCGATATCAAATAGAGAAATTCGTCATTTTTTTACTCAGATTTGATGAAATTTTTGGTGAACTATTGGAGATTTCCTAAGGAAATATTTTCATCGCTGGTTTCGTCATTGAATATTTGTCACTAAAACTCTCCATGAGGAAAAATAATTTCCTCACCAATGAATTACTTTAGTGACGAAAAATTTTATCACCAAAAATCCTCATTTTCATCACTAATTAGTTATTCAATACTATATTTATAACTTTAGTTAACAAATAAATTTATCACATATTGATCATTGATGAGGAAATAATTTTGTCACAGTAAGATGTAAGGTTGACGAAGTTTTTCGTCTCCAAAAGTCAGACATGGGTGACAAAATATATTTCGTGGTAAAAATATGTATACGTGACAAAATTTTTAGTCACCAAATAACAAAATCAATGAAAACATTCATAAATAAATTGCGATAAATTTTGTCACAAAAAATATTTATTAACGACAAATAATCACTGTCATAATAACAAGTATATATGACGAAAAAATTCGTCACTAAACTTGTTGTTTCATATTTTATATTCCAATTAAAATTATTATTTCACAAATATTCCTGCTCATATCAAAATATCCTTTTAAATGTACTATGAAATCGACTAGCTATTATACACTACTCCATCTAAAAAAAATTCACTAAACAATTTATAGTATTAGTCAAAATATATCCATCCAACAAATTTAATAATAATCCATGAAGTATAATAAAAAAAAAATCATCATAGCAAATCCCAAAATGAACTAACGTGGAGTTTACAAAAAAATAAAAAATCAACACTTGATCTTGATTTACAACTAGAACTAAGTATCAGTTCAGGAAAAAATAATTCAACACTTGATTGATTTGCAAGTATGCTTCCAAACTTCAAAAACTAATCAGCAAACAAAATAAATACGGAAAACATTATAAAATCATATTTAAATAATTTATTTTATAAACCAATTTAGTAGAAATGCATATAATAATCCAAAACTTCAAAGAGTTGAGGTGATCCTTGATGATAAGCAATATGGATAACAAATTTGATAACAAAAGATTGCATGAATAAAAGCAAACTTCATGTTAGGAACAAAACTTTATGTTAGGAACAAAGGACAAGAAAACAATCACTAACAATTAACAATAGACAACTTAAATTAGTACTGAAAAAAAATCACTGTAAATAAATTAATCCCTCAAGGCAAGAGGTGTATAGGTGTTATATGAGAGGAGGGAGAGGAATGACATAGGACAGACCATGGGGACAAGAAAGGGGAAGAAAAATAAAAGAAAAGAAAAAGAAAGAAAACTAGAGAGACAAAGTTATAAAGGATGTGGTAGTGATGTCATAGACAAAGAAATTTGATAGAAAATTAAGGGTAATATTGACTTTTCACAAAATTTCTTAACAGAGTTAAAATTTGCACTTCACTCCATATCACGGGGGAGGAAAAAATGCTACCAACTGATGAGAAAAAAACTGATGAAATGGCATTTTTTTTTAAAACAATTTGTGCCCATGGTCATATATGGAGAACTGGATTCCAAAATAATGAACTCAAGACCATAGTTTTTGATGATGTACCTGAAAGTGGCATGCTTTAGGCATCAAGGTTGGTTTGAGATTTTTCCTTTTTTTTCATTAATTGTTTCCTCAACTTTATTTTCTGGTGTGTTTCTGTGCCCTAGAATGGGTTGCAATTATCTTGCAAGACTTGTGGTCATTTGTTGTTGCTTTGCTGATTTGGTGGTTTGATTATGTGACTTTGATTTCCCTCGACATGCACTTAATTAATTTCCCATGGCTGTTTGTGTAAGTTACTATTACTCTTGTTTATCTTTCCTCAGGTGTACATATATTCCAGCGGTAGCAGATTGGCACAAAGGCTCATATTTGGTGATACGAATTATGGGGACTTAAGAAAATACTTGTGTGGATTTTTCGCTACCATAGTGAGGTATATTGCACACTCCTTGAATGCATTTCTTTGTTTTAAAAAGCAATCCTATTACTGCTTCATTCTGGCTAAATCATCATTCAATACTATCATGTCCAGGAACAAGAAAGAAACAAGTAGTTATGTTGAAATATCAAAATCTATGGGAGCAGATAGGCCATCAGAGATCTTATTTGTGACTGATGTCTATCAAGAAGCTATAGCTACCAAGGCAGCAAGTAAGATGCTTAACTTTTGATCTTTTGGAAAGGTTTGAATGATCCAAACCATTGATTAGGCAGAATAGTTGAAATTTGAACGTTGCGACTCATGTTAAAAAATTCGCTAAGGTATTGGTTGAGATTGCCTTAACCACTGGTACTTGAATTCTAATACATGTTTCAGGTTTGGAGGTGATAATTTCTGTGCAGCCAGGAAATGAACCTCTTTGAGAATCATAGGTTCAAGACAGTCAACCCATTTTCAGAGATCTAAGATTTAGGTGTGCTCCCTGTAAGCTTACTTTAACATGACATAGTTATAATTAATGATGATATACTACATCAATAAACAAATTCCCTTCCTAATAAACTTGCTCAGTTAATGACTTGGCTGGATTTTTATTTTTATTTTGGTTGGCTATGCTTGTTTTATTTCTTGTTTAACTCTGGCTATTGACAAGTGAAAATTGGGGAACAAATTTTTACCCAAAAAATTTAAAATGACTAGTCTATGTTGAATGGTCTGATGTTCAGAATTGAATAAAATATCTCTAAATGGTCCCAAAGTTAGTGGAATGATGAAAAAAATGCTAAACCTTTCTATCTATGTTAATACAACTGATGGAAAAATGCTACCAACATGAAAAAAAAAAAAAGAGGAGTAGAGGGGAAAAAATGCTACCAACTGATGAAAGGTGCAAGCAATGATCAAGACCTATATTTTTAGGATGCCTCCTATGATACCCTACCCAATTATTGTCAAATAGATGAAATGACAAACAAATACATTGTATAGACCTCTCTATCTATATCAATACAAATTGTGTTTACAATGAGTCCAGCTTAACAACCAGAAGTTATTTTGTACATGGCAAGGTCCTATTAATTACATCACTTACTTATAGCAACTCCAACACCGCCTAGCAAAAGTACACAAAAAAGTAAACACGTAGTTTTGTCTAACTATTTTGGTTAGTGTGTATTTTAACAAGGGTCATGCTAAGTAAGAAGTAACTAATGAATCTATTTTCATTAAATACATCTTGGAATTTGTTAAATCTTAGTTAATAATTAATCAAACTGTTGTGCTTTAACTAGTATATATTAACCAACATTAGAAAAATGAAAAGATAAAACAAGCAAGACTTACCAAAAAGGCAATCTTTGAGTTCATGGGATGCCTTATCCTCTAAATTGTCCTTTGAAACCTTGCTTCTTAAGAAACTCCATGATACTTGATGTCATCTCCAAATGCTCCTCACTCGACCCATGAATTTTCGCTATCACATTATTTTGTGAATTTCCTCTTTTTGTGCTTGAATTTCATGTTTCTGTGCTGTAATTTCCTTTTTTTGTGAATGAATTTCCTCCTTTTGCTCTTGTATTTCCATCTCTAGACACCTTACATAGTCACTGTCAGTCAAAGCACTGGTAGTCCTGATAGAGAAGGAAGGCCTCAACCCAAGTCCTTTAAAATATCCCGATCTTCGCTTGAGCACCTTCACAGATAGCTCCTTCCGAGTAATTGGAACCACACCAGGTTGGGAGCAATGTTCATCTTGGATCTTTATCATATTATCCTGTCATTTTGAAAAGAAAAGAAAAAATAGAAAAGTGAATAAAGATACAATAAAAATTGCAATCATCCTAATACAAAAGGTAAACATACATGCAAATTCTTTTTGCACCCCGGAGAAATCCATTGCTTTATGACATCATTAAAGTGTGTGGATTTGTAAACACATGGCAACTCTAGCAGTCGGTCCCCATTTGCAATTGCCTCATTTTATTTATTTATTTTTGTTCTTCAACTAGTAAGTTAAATAAGAATGATGGTAATAGAACCATATTATAAAATAAAAAATAAAAAATTAAAGAAGATGCATCGCCTTGTGTACCCTAACTAAAAGAGACATCAACCTACATCTATGCTTCGTCTTCAATTGTTTTCTATTGTCAATGTAGCTATTGATTGCTTCTACAATGAGCAAGTTCCAATAGAAAAATATATGTATTAGGAAGATGTAAGGTAATTGTCAACAATAAATAAACATAAGAAAAGTTTACCAGCCAATTGCTATCATTCAACTTCCTATCAATAAAGTTTTTCCATTTCTCGAGGTCACATCCAAGCGGTGGGTGGCTTCTAGCACACTTCTCTCCCTTAGCACTCTTAAGGCTCAAGTATTTTTTTCCGTACTCTATAGGTGTGGGTACTCAAGCTCCGTCCACACTTTGTTGCCACCGCTTTGTTAACATCCGTGGATTCACCTTGCATCTCAAATTGATCCCAGCAACAGCCACAAATATTGTAAGTCGTAATTAATTGTATTACATGAATTCAATCAATTATGTAATACTTTTACCGTTAGATGCTAAAACATAGGTGCCGTAACTTCTTCATTGACGTGTTTCCACCTACGAATGCTAAAGTCTGGCAAGTGTGTATGGACCTCAACACCAATTTTGGAGACTAATTGAGAGGCATGATCCCTCACTGGCGCACGATACTCCTGTGGTATGGAAACTTTGAACTTTCCATCTTTCTCAACCATTGCTTGAACCTTCCGCCCCCATGTCAAGTCATGAGGGTGTCTACTAAGCATTGTTTTAAAGACATAATATTGATTGGTTAGTAACTAATTAAAGCAAAATCATAAAAGCAATATAAGTTACCTTCTCTTTTTTTTTTTTTTTTTTTTTTTTTTTTTGTGAATAAGTCATAAAATACAATGATAAAATATAGAGATATACAAAGGGCATTCCCTAAGTCTTACAACACCAAACTAAAAAAACTAGAGCTATACAAGAGAAACAAAACCGAATAAACAACCTAAACTAAATAAACTATAAAAGTCATCTTGAGTAAACTAGAGAAAAAGTGCACTAAGGAGTTTGACGATGCACTTCATGTATCTTCCACAACAAAGCTGCACCTATGTAGAAAGTCTCACCAGTCGAGGCATCATAGGTTAATTTACCATTTTTCCATAATTCGTTTAATTCATCCACTAAAGGTCTCATGTAGACATTAATATCAATTCCTAGTTGTGATTCACCAGGAATAAGTAATGACAACATGAAAAATGGATCCTTCATAGCCAACCACAGTGGCAAGTTATACGAAATGAGTACGACAGACCACAAACTATATGAGCTATTCATATTTCTGAAAGGGTTGAACCCATTAGTAGCCAACCCTAGCCTTACATTTCAAGGCTCCAAGGCGAATTCAGGATGTTATGAATCGGATTCCTTCCACTCATCACTATCTACAGGATGCTTCAATACACCGTCATCTAGATATTTTTTCTTGAACCATTTCATGTCCTCGGCTCTCTTCCTGGACATGTACAACCTTTTCAATCTCAATGTTAACGGAAAATATCGAAAGACCTTACAAGAGATCTTCTTACCTCTACCATGATCTGTCTTGTATCTAGAAGCCTTACAATTTAGACATTTATCCAGTGTTGCATTCGCCTTCCAAAAAAGCACACAATCATTTACACAAGCATTAATGAGCTCGTATGACAAACCCAATTCACGTAGTATTTTTTTAGCTTCATAAGTTGACTTTGGAACCAAATTATCCTTCGGTAAAAGTTTTGTTAAAAACTCGATCATCATGTCAACTAACTTATTACTCCAATGGTTTGTTACCTTCATATTAAGTAGCTCAATGACAAAATTTAACAAAGTGTAATTTATGCAACTTGGGTACACCTCACGTTTGGCATCATTCAATAATTTATCAAAAGTGCAAACCTCCTCCCCTAGGTTGTATTAGTTGATTCCTTTCTTATTCGATCTTCTACTAAGGCATCAATGCCTCCCAAAACCTCATTACCCTCAACGAGTATATCATCTCATTTGATTCACGGGGTTCCCTATGCACGTGCCAGATAGTGTAAGTTGGAATAATCCCATGTTGCAGCAAATGAATTTGAACAATTTGAAAATTTTGTCAAACAACATTCACACACTTTTGACAATGGTACAAAATTTTACCATCTCGATCGATAACCACTATTGCAAAATGAGGAAATGATATTACCCCATCATAATATGCCCGACTTATCCTTCCATCAACTGTGCTACCTAGTGCAATCCAACTCTTGTCCATGTCTGACTATGTCGAGTTAATTAAAGTTAGGCGAATAGGACAAATTTTATATATTAAAAAATCAAAAATAAATATTTTAATTAAAAAAATTTGAAGTTCAATGGTTTTACCGAGTTATATAAATGACAACCACACATAAATCACACGAGGAAATAGACAAAGCAATTTAGCATAAACAGGAGAAGTATTCAAAACCAAAATAGAACCCAAGGCAAAATAGCCATCAATAAGAAGACAAATAACATAATTTAGAGAAAATTTAACCAATAAAGCGGTGAGCTGAGAGTAAAAAGTAGATAACATGACACAGAAAGAAAACCCACAATATGCCACATTGAGTTTCTAAAGCAGTCAATTTAAGTACTCAAATATCCAAATGCAAAATCTTATGATTGAACTGCACGTATTAGAAAATATATATATATATATATATTACCAAAGTTGACACATTTATTAACTAAATTGGGATTTTGAAAAAATAATACATTGGGAAACAATAACTATTCTGGCTCACATTGCACTCGATAAACAAAATGTGATTAAATTCTGCAGAGGAACTTAATAATGTACTTAAGGAGCTATGCATATAAGAAATGAATGATACCAATAGAATTGATAGCCACATGCGACAATTCCAATAAATTTCCCGAGACTAAAATTTAGTACTTATGGCCTATTACTGCAATTCGTACTCTGTTTGATTTTCTCTTTACTCAACTATATACGAAGTCCAGAGAAGTTAAAGCAAGATATGATAATTTAAGGGCGTAATATTCCAATTTTCATTAAATATATATCCCACTGCCAAAAAAAAAGGTGGTACCGGCCAGCAAAAATTGCAGACGTACAAAGAGAGGGTACAATAAGGCCACAAACTATATGAGTTATTCATATTTCCGAAAGGGTTGAAACCATCAGTAGCCAACCCTAGCCTCACATTCCGAGGCTCCAAGGCAAATTCAGGATGTTGTGTATCGAATTCCTTCCACTCATCACTATCTGCAGGATGCCTCAATACACCGTCATCTAGACGTTTTTCCTTGAACCATTTCATATCCTCGGCTCTCTTCCTCGACATGTACAACCTTTTCAATCTCGGTGTTAACGGGAAGTATCGAAGAACCTTACGAGAGATCTTCTTACCTCTACCATGATTTGTCTTGTATCTAGAAGCCTTACAATTTGGACATTTATCTAGTGTTGCATTCCCCTTCCAAAAGAGCACACAATCGTTTACACAAGCATCAATGAGCTCGTATGACAAACCCAATTCACGTAGTATTTTTTTAGCTTCATAAGTTGACTTTGGAACCAAATTATCCTTCGGTAAAAGTTTTGTTAAAAACTCTAGCAT